GCGATCTGGTACACACGTACAGAAACAACACACAATCTCGTGCACAGTACAGAAACAACACACAATCTCGTGCACACGTACACAAACAACACACAATCTGGTACACACATACAGAAACAAGACACAATCTCGTGCACACGTACAGAAACAACACGCGATCTGGTACACACGTACAGAAACAACAGACAGTCTGATACACACGTACAGAAACAACACACAGTCTGGTACAAACGTACAGAAACATCACGCAATCTGGTACAAACGTACAGAAACATCACACAATATGGTACAAACGTACAGAAACATCACACAATCTGGTACAATCAGGTACACACGTACAGAAACATCACACAATCTGGTACAAACGTACAGAAACATCACACAATCTCGTACACACGTACAGAAACATCACACAATCTGGTACACACGTACAGAAACATCACACAATCTGGTACACACGTACAGAAACATCACACAATCTGGTACACACGTACAGAAACAACACAATCTCGTGCACACGTACAGAAACATCACACAATCTGGCACACACGTACAGAAACATCACACAATCTGCCACACACGTACAGAAACAACAGACAATCTGGTACACACGTACAGAAACAACAGACAATCTGGTACACACGTACAGAAAAATCACGCTATCTGTACATACCTAGAGAAACATCATGCTACCTGTACATACCTAGAGAAACATCACGCTACCTGTATATACCTAGAGAAACATCACGCTACCTGTATATACCTAGAGAAACACCACGCTACCTGTATATACCTAGAGAAACATCACGCTACCTGTATATACCTAGAGAAACACCACGCTACCTGTTTATACCTAGAGAAACATCACGCTACCTGTATATACCTAGAGAAACATCACGCTACCTGTATATACCTAGAGAAACATCACGCTACCTGTATATACCTAGAGAAACACCACGCTACCTGTTTATACCTAGAGAAACATCACGCTACCTGTATATACCTAGAGAAACATCCGCTACCTGTATATACCTAGAGAAACATCATGCTACCTCTATATACCTAGCGAAACATCCCGCTACCTGTATATACCTAGAGAAACACCACGCTACCTGTATATGCCTGGAGAAACATCCCGCTACCTGTATATACCTAGCGAAACATCACACTACCTGTTTATACCTAGCGAAACATCCCGCTACCTGTTTATACCTTGAGAAAAATCACGCTACCTGTATATACCTAGAGAAACACCACACTACCTGTTTATACCTAGCGAAACATCACGCTACCTGTATATACCTAGAGAAACATCATGCTACCTGTATATACCTAGAGAAACATACCGCTACCTGTATACACCTAGAGAAACACCACGCTACCTGTATATGCCTAGAGAAACATCCCGCTACCTTTATATACCTAGAGAAACACCACGCTACCACTATATGCCAAGACAAACATGACGCTACCTGTATATACCTGGAGAAACACCACGCTACCTGTATATACATAGAGAAACATCACGCTACCTGTATATACCTAGAGAAACATCACGCTACCTGTATATACCTAGAGAAACATCAAGCTACCACTATATGCCAAGAAAAACATGACGCTACCTGTATATACCTGGAGAAACACCACGCTACCTGTATATACCTAGAGAAACATCCCGCTACCTGTATATACCTAGAGAAACACCACGCTACCTCTATATACATAGAGAAACACCACGCTACCTGTATATACCTAGAGAAACATCACGCTACCTGTATATACATAGAGAAACATCACGCTACCTGTATATACCTAGAGAAACATCACGCTACCTGTATATACCTAGAGAAACATCACGCTACCTGTATATACCTAGAGAAACATCCGCTACCTGTATATACCTAGAGAAACATCACGCTACCTCTATATACCTAGAGAAACACCACGCTACCTTTATATACCTAGAGAAACATCACGCTACCTGTATATACCTAGAGAAACACCACGCTACCTGTATATACCTAGAGAAACATCACGCTACCTGTATATACCTAGAGAAACACCACGTTGCCTGTATATACCTAGAGAAACATCACGCTACCTGTATATACCTAGAGAAACATCACGCTGCCTGTATATACCTAGAGAAACATCACGCTACCTGTATATACCTAGAGAAACATCACGCTACCTGTATATACCTGGAGAAACATCATGCTACCTGTATATACCTAGAGAAACATCACGCTACCTGTATATACCTAGAGAAACATACCGCTACCTTTATATACCTAGAGAAACATTACGCTACCTGTATATACCTAGAGAAACATCACGCTGCCTGTATATACCTAGAGAAACTACCTGTACCTGTATATACCTAGAGAAACATCATGCTACCTGTATGTACCTAGAGAAACATCACGCTACCTGTTTATACCTAGAGAAACACCACGCTACCTCTATATACCTAGAGAAACATCACGCTTTAACTTCAAGGAGATATGTAGGAGATAATCCTATTGTGTTTACATTTTGGAAGTGATTATAGTTGGTTGAACGCTGCTTAATGAAACAATTAGCAGCGTTCAACCGACTATAATCACTTCCAAAATGTAAACACAATAGGATTATCTCCATTCTTCCATGACATATGCACCATGAATAAAACGCGTTTTAAATATGCACTCATTACCCTTGCGTAGTGTTTTGACACTACGCGCAGTTAACTGGCTCTCAGAAGGGGTTATTGAAAATGTTTCACTTCTAATGTTTCAGTAGCAGCCAATCAAAAACGAACATACTTAAATGTCATTGTAGAATTATGTTTTACAGGCGAACATACTGATCTTTAGCAACCCGTGCTTGTCGAAAGAGATCTGGTTGACACATTGGTATCCCAGTTGCGTAGATCGATGCTCATGATGTCAGTCACGGGATTGTCTGGTGCAGACTCGATTATTCACAGACTGCCGTCATATAGATGGAATATGGCTGAATGCGGCATTAAACAACAAACACAAAGCATCATAAAACGGTACCATTGCCTAACGTAGACTATAACAAACACAAAGCATCATAAAACGGTACCATTGCCTGACGTAGACTATAACAAACACAAAGCATCATAAAACGGTACCATTGCCTGACGTAGACTATAACAAACACAAAGCATCATTAAACGGTACCATTGCCTAACTTAGACTAGAACAAACACAAAGCATCATAAAACGGTACCATTGCCTGACGTAGACTAGAACAAACATAAAGCATCATAAAACGGTACCATTGCCTGACGTAGACTATAACAAACACAAAGCATCATAAAACGGCACCATTGCCTGACGTAGACTATAACAAACACAAAGCATCATGAAACGGTACCATTGCCTAACGTAGACTATAACAAACACAAAGCATCATAAAACGGCACCATTGCCTGACGTAGACTATAACAAACACAAAGCATCATAAAACGGTACCATTGCCTGACGTAGACTATAACAAACACAAAGCATCATAAAACGGCACCATTGCCTGACGTAGACTATAACAAACACAAAGCATCATAAAACGGTACCATTGCCTAACGTAGACTATAACAAACACAAAGCATCATAAAACGGCACCATTGCCTGACGTAGACCATAACAAACACAAAGCATCATAAAACGGTACCATTGCCTGACGTAGACTATAACAAACACACACAAAGCATCATAAAACGGTACCATTGCCTGACGTAGACTATAACAAACACAAAGCATCATAAAACGGCACCATTGCCTAACGTAGACTATAACAAACACAAAGCATCATAAAACGGTACCATTGCCTAACTTAGACTAGAACAAACACAAAGCATCATAAAACGGTACCATTGCCTAACGTAGACTATAACAAACACAAAGCATCATAAAACGGTACCATTGCCTGACGTAGACTAGAACAAACACAAAGCATCATAAAACGGTACCATTGCCTAACGTAGACTATAACAAACACAAAGCATCATAAAACGGCACTATTGCCTAACGTAGACTATAACAAACACAAAACATCATAAAACGGTACCATTGCCTAACTTAGACTAGAACAAACACAAAGCATCATAAAACGGTACCATTGCCTAACGTAGACTATAACAAACGAAGCACACACGAAAGCCAAGGCTGTGCACACAATGTAAGATGTTCAAACTTTCATCTGAAAAATGTCAACTAAAGGGTTTCACGCCTTCGTACACAACAACAATGCATCCAACAATATAACGTCTAGACACGCCGATTATACACAATTAAACGACAGTTATGTAGGTACTTTTTAGTCGAGATTCAGACTTTAAGGTTGACGTTAATTCAATTGTCCTTTCCAAACGAGATACATCAAAGCTCTTATGTCCACTTTTGTCATAAGAGCAACACAAAGTAATGACGTCAAGGTGCTTGTATTCAGATCAGCTTGGAATCACAGCAGTTGCCATGGCAACGAGAGCACGAATTAGTGAATAACATTTTGGATTGATCACATACAAACTCGTAAATCCTCAGGAACAAGGCATGATTGGATGGATCCATTACGCCTGTAAATGTAAAAGTTTGTAAATACGGAAATCTTCAGAAATAAAGTTATGAAAGTTATTGGACATTTGATTGACAACAAGTTGTTTTCTTTCTTCGCTTGCACGTCCATCATGATCCAGTGCAAAACTCCGTGTTGAATTCTGTACTGGAAGTTGATTGGGTTAATAAGACGCTGTTATATTGGTGAGCTATTTTCAAAATGAGTAAAAATGCAATTTTTTCATTTGTTACCAAAATGAAATTTGTCAAGATCCCTGTTTTGACTTCAGTTGCAACTAAGAAAACTAGTTTCGGTTCAGAGTTGATGAAGTTCTGATGTTAGAACAACTCTAAATTTAAATGTGAATGTGTCTGTAGCAATAATAATGAATTATTATGTTTTCTGTGAAATTAATAATCACTGCTTTCATTTGCTAGCATTCGGACGTAAATACTGTATGGAGGACGGGAGATGGTACGTTCACCCTGACACTGGGGCGACGTGGACCGACTACAGGGCGTGTCCCCTTGGGCAGGTACGTTGTGCAGAGCACTTATAAGAATGTTCGTTCGTCACGCGTTCGGTGCCATATATGATTACAGGTGTGTAAATCAACTCTAACAACACTGTAGTTATGTTGTCTATGGATGAAAAATACTGCATACATTTCACGTTGAATAATAACCACAATAATCAACAATAATAATAACATTCCTCAACTTAATGTTTTATCTTAACAATACCCTTCGTATCATGATGTTACTGACATCCACTGTGACCACATCTGTCCGGTGATCCAGTGGTAGAGCGTCCGCCCGGACAACAAGTAGTCGGTACTTCTGTCACCGCTCGTTCTATACCAAATGGCGTCAAAACGATGGTACTTTGGGTTAGACTGTCGGGCGCTCCGCGTTAAGATGTAACACAAAGAATTGTCGTACATCGGATTCAGTATTCTGTATTTTGGTATTGGTATATACAGTCGAGCACCGTTATCTCGATATTCAAGGGAACAAGAAAAAAATCGCGTTATCCGAACTTCGAGACATCCGACCAGGGCATATTATCACATATCACTATGAAAGAAAACAAAACGCTTCTCAGTATGTTTTGATTCGAAACTATATTCCGTTATTAGTAGTGTTTATTCGTAACAGTGCGTACTTCCTAATTAGTTCCTTCTTAATTAATCCTAATTAAATAACAAAAAAGTGACACCTTCAACTAAATTAGCATTAATCAGTTTAGACAACCGCATCCCTTTGCTTCATGTGCACCGTATGTAAACGTATGGAAACAACCTCAGTTCAGAGGGATACTTGCCCATAATAGGTAGGTGAATATCGAGTTTCTTTGCAAATATCGAGTTAAAAGTGTAAGTTTGCTTGTTGGGACCATCAAATTATATCGAGATATCCAAAATATTGCGACATCCGTATCGTGTTAACAGAGCTTGAATAATGATAAATTATGGATGATTTTGCCGGGACCGAAATGTTATATCGAGACAACCGAGATATCGAGTTATCAGAGTTCGACACAGTGATGCTCGACTGTATGTTAACTCTTTCAACACCAGTCAACCAGAGGCATTTACTGCCATGACACCGAGTTCCCAGAGACTCTAAGGTCATAAATGAAGCCTATGTTTATGAAGGAAATTATAAGCTTGTAAAACGTTATTACTACTACATCTCATACACCATTTAAAAGATCTAATCCCACTGTTGATAAATATGAAGTTTATTTTTATAATACAATTCAAATAATACAACTACAACTAATAAATTTATTTTTTAATGAAAATGCAAGTTTACATTTATAATGTCCAGATAAACCACGAAAGAAGCAAAAACTATGGCGATTTGTTTTCCATTTGTGACATGTCATAACATGCCGGTGACTTTTTCTTTTATATTTTCATTTTTACGTAATCAGAAAATTATTATAAAAAGATTTCTTAAATAATATGTATGGTCGCCTATTTCCCGATATCAGTGGCTTTTCGCTCGGTAACATGACACAACAACGGAAAATACCTCCGTTTTCGAAGCTTCGTATGAATAACATGCGAGGCGAATCGTTTGATGTCGGGCATCGTTCGAAAGCTCTGAACATCAACACTATCACTGCACCCTTGCCGAGAGTATTTTCACAGTTGTAAGAAGCGATTTTATTGGATAAAGATTGGTTTCTAATGACGCTTTTTCGCCACAGTCTGCTATAAGGGTCGTGATTGGTCAAATCAGACACGTGACCTAAGGCAGCCAATTATATTACGGCAATGGACACCGTCCTCGTAACCGAAAACCTTTAGATTTAGACGAAAGTTTTGGGTAAAATAATGCTATTCTGAACATATTAAGCAAGAAATCGCTACCTATACGTAAATTATGGGATTTATTTGACGTATCGTGCTAGGTTATGACCTGTGACACAAATGCTTCATGCATATATTTTCGCATTAAACATCGTGTCCGAGCGTGAAGATTGAGGCGGCGAGAGCCGAGATGTCACTTGTCAGTGACTTGACTTGCATTACATGATCGCACAAAAAGATGGAAATAGTAATTTTATATGTACGTTTGACAACTTTTATGAATGCTGTTGTTGATTTTATTCATTAGTTTATTCAATTTATTTAATGATTTCCTCGAAACATCGTTACTTTGCTCTTTGACAATGTTATTGTGGACCCGCTGCCGAAGCATGTGTCCGAGAATCGTTGCTTTCAATAACATTGCGAAAAATAGTTTATAATTTTAATTCTGCCGATAATATATGATCAATGAAATTTAATAAGTGTTTTCAGACATTGTGAAATGTGATGGATTTAATATATGAATCATAAGTCAGGTAAGTTCCTAAAATTATGTCTTATTTTGACGTGACTACTGCCTGGCCGATTAATCGGCCTCCGGTGTCTGGGGACTCATAACGTTGTGGCCGCTTAAGCGGCCTGCGGTGTTGAATGGGTTACAGTGGGTATGATATCTCCACGGACTAGAACTATATAACCGCTTCACGTTAATAAGTTTATTAGCGCAGAAGAAAATACAACGCTATTATTCAATTAAATTTCATGACAGGTTAATTCCAAACGCATGGGCACATTTCAGCATGAACATCAAAGGTTTATTTCTAATTGTGAGTCACATCCCCACATCCAACCCCCAACCCATCTTACGTGTGGAAGTGAGTGAGTGAGTATGTATGGTTTTACGCGGCTTCCAGCAAAATTCCAGCAATATCACCACGGGAACACCAGAAATGGGCTTCACACTCTTACATGTGGAACAAGAAAAAGCTGATGTTGTATAATCTGCTAAAGCTGTCATGTAAAATTCAAAGTGTCGAAAACTATGTAAACATGCTACATCTACTCAATGATGTTGCCTGCCTTCTTGTCTGCGACGTTGTTTTTAATCAAATGCCATTTGATCTGAAGTAGCGTTCATAATTTCAACTGTGTATTTCGCTAGCTGTCATTGATACGTAAACACAACTCAAGTTAAAGCCTTTGGGGAACAGACAAATATCCGTCATCAAAATATTTTCTTTGATATTAAAATTTTACGATCTTTGCCTTTTAACACGATCCCCTGTCGAGGGATCTATTCTACGATGAAAACAATTAGACATACGACAGATCTAGACTGGAGAGCCGTGCAGTTTCACATCGCTTGTGGATAATATTCTCAAATGATGTGACACAAGATGCCACTTTTAAACTTTTAGTTACTTTCCAATCATGGAGCTCCATCTTATAGCAAATCGTGAGTGATTGAGTTTACATTTACGCCGCACTCAGCATTATTCCGGCTATATGGCGGCGGTGTGTAAGTAATCGAGTCTGGATCAGACAATCAACAGCATGAGCATCGATCTACGCACTTGGGAACCGATGACATGTGTCAGCCAAGTCAGCGATTCTGACCACGCGATTCCGTTAGTGGCCTCTTACAACAAGCATGGGTTACTGAAGACCAATTCTATCTCGGACCATCACGGGTTTTATAGCAAATAATAGTAATTTGTTTGTAACTTCTATAATATTAAAACATGAAATGGGTATTAGATGTTTAAGCAGCTGTTGTCACACATATTGGACCCTCCAGTTGTAATTGGATATATTGTCAACACACAAAAAGAATCTGATTGGACATTCGCCTGCCAGTCTGCGGATGTAATAATGTCATGCTGGATGATGTGTACTGGCATGAAAGTCCACCAACTGTTGCAATGTATGTCTTGATGTCACACACAATATATTACACAAAATGTGCATGTTTGTAGGTTCTGAAGTCGTGATGATATATTAGTTCTGACTGGCGGGGTGTGGCGGATTATAGGAGTTCAGCTGTACCTCAACAAGACTAATGCTAAATAAATAAATAAATAAATAAATAAATAAATAAATAAATAAATAAATAAATAAATAAATAAATAAATAAATAAATAAATAAATAAATAAATAAATAAATAAATAAATAAATAAATAAATAAATAAATAAATAAATAAATAAATAAATAAAATTGGTTGTAACAAAAAAGCCTAGCATTGCAAGGAGAGCTAGGCTGTAGGGAAAATAAAATGGTTCAGGGACTGTGAGACAGACTATTCCTCGACAGTCGGTCATGTCGTTGGGAAGTCAATTCAGCTCGTAAAATGCCGGTTTTGGCACATGCCACTCAGTGAGAGACACAGTTGACAATGCTTAATAGTGATTGAACTTAGCTTTATGCCGCTTTTAACAATATTCCATCAGTATCAGGACGGGGGACGCCAGAAATGGGCTTCACAGATTGTACCCATGTGGAGAATCGAACCCGGGTCTTCGGCGTGACGATCAAACGTTTAACCATTAGGCTACCCCACCGCCCGACAATGCTTAATAAGATATGTACATGTAGTATAAGTTCTTCTGCAATAGGAGTATATACGTATGGCTAAAGACTTTCCCACTGAAACGCCAGCAAGATGGCTCCCCAAACGCCCGTCAGACAGCAAACTCCCATACCTTAACATGCACGCTAGACAGTCGAAGCGATAACGCTATTTGGTACCGCTGCACCCCATTATAGCCTACTCTAAAAAGCAGCCTTAAACTAATATCACGTCTTATTTGATACTGTAGGATTCATGTGAATATTTGTCTGTTTTTCAGAATGAACTTAGTGTGATAATGCTCTACATCTCGGGTTATGCAGCCTCCCTTATCCTCTGCCTCATCAGCATTGTCGTCTTCAACCTGTTCAGGTGAGCTTCAGCTTGACTCGACTATATGTCACTGTAACCCCTCTGTTATCGGCATTGTTGTCTTCAACATGTTCAGGTGAGCTTCAGCCTGACTCGAATATACGTTACTGTAACACCTCTGCTATCGACACTGTTGTCTTCAATATGTTCAGGTGAGCTTCAGCTTGATTCGAATATATGTTACTGTAACCCCTCTGAACCGTGAAGATCCGGGGTAGAATAGGTCTTCAGCAACCAATGCTTGCCACAAAAGGCGACTATGCTTGTCGTAAGAGGCGACTAACGGGATCGGGTGGTCAGGCTCACTGACTTGGTTGACACATTTCATCGGTTCCCAATTGCGTAGATCGATGCTCATGCTGTTGACCACTGGGTTGTTTGGTCCAGACTCGATTATTTACCGACCGCCACCATATAGCTGGAATATTGCTGAGTGAGGCGTAAAACTAAACTCACTCACTCACTTTAACCCCTCTGTTATCGGCATTGTTGTCTTCAACATGTTCAGGTGAGCTTCAGCTTGACTCGAATATATGTTACTGTAACACCTTTGTTATCGACATTGCCGTTTTCAGCCTGATCAGGTGAGCTTCAGCTTGCCTCGAATATATGTTACTGTAACCCCTCCGTTCACTGATATATTATAGATTGTAGGGTTACAATAAGGGAAATACGCTCTTGTTGTACACGAATACACATAGGGCATTTCAAATAATTTCTCCAAGGAATAAGCAGAAATTGTTGTTTATCATCTAACGCATTTTATAAATATTCAGAAACAAACGAATAATTATTTCCGAAAGGTTTCTTAGTTGCCTTATTGCTAGATACATTTGGTTTATCATTAGTTAGGGGCTGTGTATCACGTACATCTAAGATCAATATTAATATACATCACGCCGCGCAGTTACGATGTAAGGAGCTGTAATTGGAACGAGCATCTAGATCAGAAGTCGGTAACATATATGTTGCCATATCAGCGTTGTTGTTTGGGAAATCGAAATTCATGAAACGTTATTGACGAAAACCATTCCAGTGTTAAACATGTGTAGTTAGATCCTGATAGAATTAAAGTAATGACGTCTCGTACCGAAATTCCTGTGCTCGATAACGTACCATTTTGCATTTCACATTCGTAAATAGAAGCGACAAAACTCTTTCGACATCCATAACAAATCTCTCTTGTAAGCAAGGTCGTTTGTTCAATTCGCTAGCAAGTATTGCAAAGTTGCAGGAGCGCTGGGTTATCCTTATGGTAAAAGCGTTCGCTCATCACGTCGAAGACCACGGTTCGATTCCCCACATGAGTACAAGTTAAAGCACATTTCTGGTGTCCTCCGTCGTGATATTGCTGGAAATTTGCTAAAACGTTACTTTTTCACATCGTTGTAACGATAGGCACAAGGTCCCCAGATTCCAGCATCCACCGACTCTCAACCCAAGTATCAACACAACCAGTGCCTATGTCCCTGTCTTCACCAACGAAATGACCGTCTGTGCCCAATCTACTTGGGTCTCCCCGCCAACCTTGTGACACCAGTAAATGATATGGCTGACACAATGCCGGTGCGACGTAAAACTTCAACTCAACTAAACTGTGACACCCAACGACGAAACCCATCAACTCACTCCCAAATGTTCCATCTTTCCAGACAGCTGAAGTGCAACCGAGTGACCCTCCACCAGCATCTGTTTGTGTCCTACATCCTGACTGGGCTGTTGTGGATCCTCTACTACACCGAGGTGGCCATGAAACATGACGTCATCCGAGAAAACCCGGTAAGTCAACCTACCGAGTCCACCATTAGACCAGAAAGCCATTTTGACCTCTAATGTCCACACTCAACAAACAGTGCACAAATATCTCAGGACATTCCATCAGACGTCATGAAAGAAGGACCTTGTGCGACCAATGAATAGTAATAGGAAGTCGACATTAGCCAACCAGAAGCAACTTTATGTCACTAGTTTTAACCAGGCAACTGCCAATCTAGAAATTCAAAAATATTTCGACAAACCAAAGCTTTGACGACTAAACTGAAATTCTAATATTTAATGGATTGCCCTGAGTGTACAGTCGTACATCCCACGGGCTGGGGAAAGACCCTTCCGTTTCCAGTGTGTCTCCCTTCAAAGCTGGAAACAGACGCTCGCTACATGATTATATACGGTGTGTGATTGTTATCCTTTGATAAATTCACAACAGATATAACATTTCTAATTTAGTAAGAATTTCGCGGAGTCATGTGATTACTATCAACATGAATTGCATGTACTTTACAAAATGTGATTACTAAATTTGAAAGGGGTTAGAACTGGTTTGTCGCAACAGGAATCTCATGGGATCAGTTGGTGAGGTTCGGTAACGTGGTTGGTACATGTCATCGTATACCAATTGCGTAGATCGATGTACATGACATCAGTCACTAGATTGTCTGGGCCAGACTCGATCATTACAGACCGCCGTCATATAGCTGGGATATTGCTGATTGAGGCGTTCAACAACAAGAGAAACAACAACTCAATTTGACTCTAGTAAATGTATATCAAAAGTCAAATTTAACAGTAAGCATTATATAGTTATAATTGATTACTTGGATGAACAAAACAGTCGCTGATGTAGTTAAATACACACATGTCCTGGCAGCCAGGATATACTGGTGCCCTTATTGACTGTATTAGGACGTCTAAAAGCTGTTCACATTCACAGTGTTAATGCAATTCACTCTCATCACTCAAAACAGCACAGAAATGCATGACAAATGTGGAAATGTTGAATCTGTTACATGCTTGACATCATTAGGCGTCGACCTCAGTTTAACACAATTACAATACAAATCTTCAAAGGGAGGGAAATTCCCCAAACACAGGATGAGGTACAAAAACGTGATCACGTTAATTTTCTCTCAGAAAGTATTTGGCAAGGAAAGAAACCTAAGTCACACATAGTTAACTTTAAGCTTTCTAGTCTTCGAATAATCACACATTTGTTTCTTAATGGCATGGGAAGATGTCTCCTGCGTCCACATACGTTAAGGGAACCTTTAAATGCTCCATTAATATTCCCTACGGTCAATAATGTTTACATTGCTTCATTTATGACATTTCCCGACGGGAACTGTAGTCTCTATGAATACAGGCGTCTACTTCGTTTGTTAGTCCCTGGTCACTAGTGTTTCACGATGGTATTCTACTGGCATACGTACATGCTTCATTCCTCCAGTTCTATATACATTGTATATGTGAAACCTCATTCTCCACATTTAATCTTAAGTTTGATAGGTATTTCGCATTATTGCGACTTAGAGAAATATAAGCCAGAACAAATATAATTAATCTCATGAAATCTCTGCTAAAAGCAATTTCTACGATCCCGACCAAATCCTGAGAAGGTGCTGATGAATTCAAAATAACCTGTTCAATTTTGAATAAACACGAGTGAGTAGAGATCGGTAAAATCAACAACAAATCATAACACCTATTTGCCCACAGCTTCAGGAAACCCATAGGAGATATAGTATGACCAGAAACTATTGAGAATTTTAGGAATATGTTTAATTGGATTTCTAGTATAAACAACCTTGACCAGCTATCAAGTGTTTGGTTTCATTCAAGAGAGACAACTCCGCTAATCCTTTTTCATTACTTTGTGAAGAGTTATCCCCCTTTGTTTACTTGCTAGCAGACGACATTTTCAGTGATCCTCAGTATGGATGATTTAGAGAAGAGGAAGTTGATTTTAGAGAATTATATCGAGGACATCAGATCAGCTAAAGTGATTTCAAGTAGAACAGGCATCCCTTCGTCCACTGTTTATCGTGTTTTGAAAAATATTGCAAATTGATATGGCATTGAGCACCAGGGAGGCGCAGGTAGGCCCAGGAAATTGACTGTCGGTGACAGGAGGCGGCTTGGTATTCTTGTTTCTAAAAACAAACGAAGGAGTTTAGAAAAGTTAAGGCTGGATATGATTGATAGAGGAACTGTGGCTGTCTGTAAGGAGACAATTAGAACTGAGCTGCATGCAATGGGTTGGCAGAAAAGTCGAGGAATTCCATCACCGATCGGAGCGAAGGTTGAACTGGTGCTTGCAGCTTAGAAATTTTAACTGGGACAATGTGATTTTCTCAGATGAAAGTTCTGTGTGGCTGTTTCCTAATACACTGAAATTCTGGACCAAACAAACTGAAAAACCTTTGTATCAGCGCCCGAAGTACAGTCCGAAATTTAACGTGTGGGGTGGCATATCTGTGTTAGGGGCAACGCCCCTCTGTGTATTTGAAGGGAATATGAACAGTGAGCGGTACACAGATATTCTCGAGGGACATTTACTTCCATGTGCTCACGTGTTCTATGGAAATGTTTTGATTTTCCAAAAGGACAACGACCCAAAACATCGTTCAAAGCATTTACAGGCCTGGTTTCGGACCCAAATATGACATTATTAGATCGGCCAAGCTATAGCCCTGACCTAAATCCAATAGAAAATGTTTGGGGACTTATGAAGAAGAGTGTCAATAAGAACAATGTGACAAATATTGCTGAAATGAAAGAAGAGGTGGTCCGACATTGGGACAGCATGGACCACGACTTTCTAACTTCTTTGATCAGTAGTATGCCCCGCCGCATTGAAGCCTGCATTGCTGCCCATGGTGACTTGACAAAATACTAACTGTTCACCTGTCTTTGAATCTGGAGTTATGTTCTGCTAATATTCACATTTAATACGTGAGTAATGCGTGAAAACAATAAAAAATTTACAATCTTTAAATTCTCAATAATTTCTGATTGTACTGTGAGGAAAACGAAATATGACACATGTTCGTAAACAGATGCTGTGCACACACGCAATCGTATTAAATTCAATATAAGACATTGAAATGTCATTGAAAGGGATTTTAAAAGCAGGATTGTGCAAATTGTGATGATCATGTCAAAGGCAATAAAAGGTGAAACGTCAGCCAACATTTTTTTCATAGCTGGCCAATACGTTGCAGGAAGAATGGAGGAGGACTCCACAGAACTCCGTAGATTTATTCAGTTTGTGCGAGGTGTAGAACAGTGGCATCATCACAGGTTAACAGGTCTTGTCACGGGGCAATCAGTCAATATCATCGTGTTTGAAGATCATGTGACTATCACCACTAGCTAGTTACATGCTTGTATCAGTTAAATGATATGAAATATGCACATTTAACTGAGCACAGTGAAATGTTCAAAGATAGACAGTACGTTTCTTAAACTTAAACTTTCTTTGTACAAAGATTGCATTTGTATTTGTCATCCTACCTTTTTCGCTAAATATCGAACGCCAAGGACACAAATTAACAAAATGTCTATTGCTCTGTGTGGTGCATTTTCCTTGTAAAATGTAAGGTGTTGAACAAGCAGCAGAAATGTAGTAGCTGAACGTCAAGAGGCGTTCCTTTTTGTGAAATTGGAAGTTGAGTTTTGGATGAACAGAATATATGTACATGAACGTCACCTGTAATGGCTGTGTGCTACCTTCCAGGTGTGGTGTCGAGTGTTACACGTGCTCACACAGTATATAACAACCTGTAACTACGTCTGGATGCTCTGCGAGGGCTTCTACCTTCACACGCTCATCGCCCTCGCCTTCACCAAGGAGAAGAAACTGCTGTGGATCTGCATCATATTTGGCTGGGGTAAGTCACATATTGAGTGAGTGAGTGAGTGAGTGAGTGAGTGAGTGAGTGAGTGAGTGAGTGAGTGAGTTTAACGCTGTGTTGATCAGTATTCCAGTTTTTCACGGCGTTTCAGCTTATTATGAGAGGGAAAGTCCGAAACGATTTGGAGTTTGGAGTCCAAGTCCAAGTCAAAGATGTTTATTGTACAAAAGGCCTCCGGCCCATATACATTGGAGTTATACATATACATTATACATATGGTGCAATAAGTAGTAATTAGTGATCCAAACAGCAAATCATGATACAGGCAGTTCATTATGTACAAGTAGTGAAATACGATGGACATACAACACTTTTTATCAGATTGTTACGTTTAATAAGAGCATAATTGATATAGTACGACAGCTTTATTATTACATGCTGGTCAGTTGATGAAAGAAGTAGTTTAAATGCTAATGTAGGTGGCTTACATAGATAATATTCAACTATACATTTCGTACGCAAATCTTTATACAAAGGACATACAAGCAAAAAATGGATTTCATTTTCCACATCTATATTACACAATGGGCACATTCTCTTGCATCGTTCAATATAAAAACGTCTTCCTTCGTTTACCATTATGTTGATCAAACCTAACCTAAAACGTATAAATGGATATCTTAATTTCTTTGATGTTAAAAACGACAGATATTTCTCCGGCTGGGGTAGTGATTTGTATATTCTATAAGAGTCGTACCGTGAACTATTATGTATTACTGAATGCCATTCTTGATTAAACATATTAAGACTTCTTTCTCGAAACTGAGTTAAAAACAAACTTGCATCCGGATTGGAACCTAGCATCATTGGCGTGTTTGGCGTAGTTAAGAGCCTACATAAACACTATTCAGACAAGAACTGTATAATCACTTAAACTTAAAATACATTTGTGCACACAAATAGTTAAAGTGACGAAACGACAAGCTCAGCTGTGCACATGCAACATATCAAAAATACCATTTTGATGTATTCCCCCTACGTGAGGCTGTCACGTGAAATATAAGAGTCGAGATTAAATGTTTCAACATTTGAATGATAATTACTTGTTAACAATGCCTACAGCTCGATGTAAGTGTTGTGTAGTGTTGTGTAGTGTTATCAACATGACCTATTACGTATACACCGAAAATACACTGGACATTTTCTGCGGACGTACATGGTTAAAGGTGTCCTTCCTGTTGTGTTGAAACGGGACTCATTCTGCTTCGCAATACTATAACACAACCGCTTAATAATTATTTTGCGACATTCGTTTATTGTTGTTGGTGCATGCACTATATTTTTATTGTACGCATGTACACTATGTACAATAAAAAATATCGATAGCTATCAGCAAATAAAATGATTTACCAAATGCTTTCAAATTCTTTTATTCCAGTTTTCCCTGTGTTTCCAACGTTACTGTATGCGTGCCTTCGTGGAACAAGTGATACTGACAACGCCAAGTAAGTGCATCATCCTCCATTCTTGTTCAGACTTGTCATTCCAGAACAAGCCGAACGACGACTCATATCCCGCTTGTGGCTGTTTTTGACTAACCAGACTGCACAGCTAATGTCGGCGTAAACGTTTATCCCCAGAAACCACAAGAACTGCACCAATGAAGCTTTAACTTCACATACGTCTTCACTCGAATGACGATACCCCAATATCCGTTCAGAAAATTTGTTTAAAAATCGCAATTGCAATTATGTGGTGAAGCCACGTGTCCGCTAAAAAGATATGGCAATCCTGCCCTGCCAGGGCCGCAAACACATGCAAAGTCAAGCCAATTGTTCGAAATTGTGAATTGCTTCGTTTCATATTTTTGTTACTCATTCGTCAATTATGGAAATGTCTTCCACATGACTACCGTAAAGTAACGTTTGGGCAAGAGTCGAACAACTTTTTCCAATCGAAATCATTACTGCTAGAAAAATACGACGTTAACCAATAACTCCTTTAAATACAATGTATATCTTTCAACAGACATTAAAAGGTAATTTCGCTCGTAAAACAGAGACTGCGCGGAACATTTAACGTGAGGCTGGGATGCACACACACACACCATATAGTATAGTGTTTTTGAAACCACCAATACGCATAACCGCATAACTCGAGATACTGGTTTTTGATCAAAGCGCTTCCAATTTACGACGGGTTATTGTATTTCTGTGTTTTAAATGTTTACTTTAAAGTCATACTCAGCATTATTCCATCTACATGTATATGACGGTCAATCGTAAAGAATCGACTCTCGGTCAGAAAAACACGTGATTGATAGTATGATTGATTGTCGTACGACAACAACATCCGACGTCATCAGCATTCTAATACGTTTCCTTTTTCAGATGCTGGCTATACGAGTCCTCCATGATGTGGGTTGTTATTGGTCCAGTTGTCCTCTCAATAGTGGTGGGTATCCTGTATATACACAATTATTCATCTTAGTGCTGGGTATGCTTTATATACACATACATTCATCTTAGTGGTGGATATCCTGTATACGTATGTACACATTCATTCATCTTGGTGCTAGGTATGCTTTATACATACATTCATCTTAGTGGTCGATATCCTGTATATACGTCTACATTCATCTTAGTACTCGATATCCTGTATATAGGTCTACATTCATCTTAGTGCTCGATATCCTTAGATACGTCTACATTCATCTTAGTGGTCGATATCCTGTATATACGTCTACATTCATCTTAGTAGTCGATATCCTGTATATACGTCTACATTCATCTTAGTACTCGATATCCTGTATATACGTCTACATTCATCTTAGTAGTCGATATCCTGTATATACGTCTACATTCATCTTAGTACTCGATATCCTGTATATACGTCTACATTCATCTTAGTGGTGGATATCCTGTATATACGTCTACTTTCATCTTAGTGGTCGATATCCTGTATATACGTCTACATTCATCTTAGTAGTCGATATCCTGTATATACGTCTACATTCATCTTAGTACTCGATATCCTGTATATACGTCTACATTCATCTTAGTACTCGATATCCTGTATATACGTCTACATTCATCTTAGTGCTCGATATCCTGTATATACGTCTACATTCACCTTAGTGGTCGATATCCTGTATATACGTCTACATTCATCTTAGTAGTCGATATCCTGTATATACGTCTACATTCATCTTAGTACTCGATATCCTGTATATACGTCTACATTCATCTTAGTACTCGATATCCTGTATATACGTCTACATTCATCTAAGTACTCGATATCCTGTATATACGTCTTCATTCATCTTAGTGGTCGATATCCTGTATATACGTCTACATTCATCTTAGTGGTCGATATCCTGTATATACGTCTACATTCATCTTAGTACTCGATATCCTGTATATACGTCTACATTCATCTTAGTAGTCGATATCCTGTATATACGTCTACATTCATCTTAGTGGTCGATATCCTGTATATACGTCTACATTCATCTTAGTACTCGATATCCTGTATATACGTCTACATTCATGTTAATGGTCGATATCCTGTATATACGTCTACATTCATCTTAATGGTGGATATCCTGTATATACGTCTACATTCATCTTAGTGGTGGATATCCTGTATATATATACGTCTACATTCATCTTAGTACTCGATATCCTGTATATACGTCTACATTCATCTTAGTAGTCGATATCCTGTATATACGTCTACATTCATCTTAGTGGTCGATATCCTGTATATACGTCTACATTCATCTTAGTAGTCGATATCCTGTATATACGTCTACATTCATGTTAATGGTCGATATCCTGTATATACGTCTACATTCATCTTAATGGTGGATATCCTGTATATACGTCTACATTCATCTTAGTACTCGATATCTTGTATATACGTCTACATTCATCTTAGTACTCGATATCCTGTATATACGTCTACATTCATCTTAGTACTCGATATCCTGAATATACGTCTACATTCATCTTAGTACTCGATATCCTGTATATACGTCTACATTCATCTTAGTGGTCGATATCCTGTATATACGTCTACATTCATCTTAGTGGTCGATATCCTGTATATACGTCTACATTCATCTTAGTGGTCGATATCCTGTATATACGTCTACATTCATCTTAGTACTCGATATCCTGTATATACGTCTACATTCATCTTAGTGCTCGATATCCTGTATATACGTCTACATTCATCTTAGTGGTCGATATCCTGTATATACGTCTACATTCATCTTAGTAGTCGATATCCTGTATATACGTCTACATTCATCTTAGTACTCGATATCCTGTATATACGTCTACATTCATCTTAGTACTCGATATCCTGTATATACGTCTACATTCATCTTAGTACTCGATATCCTGTATATACGTCTACATTCATCTTAGTGGTCGATATCCTGTATATACGTCTACATTCATCTTAGTACTCGATATCCTGTATATACGTCTACATTCATCTTAGTGGTCGATTTCCTGTATATACGTCTACATTCATCTTAGTGGTCGATATCCTGTATATACGTCTACATTCATCTTAGTGGTCGATATCCTGTATATACGTCTACATTCATCTTAGTAGTCGATATCCTGTATATACGTCTACATTCATGTTAATGGTCGATATCCTGTATATACGTCTACATTCATCTTAATGGTGGATATCCTGTATATACGTCTACATTCATCTTAGTACTCGATATCTTGTATATACGTCTTCATTCATCTTAATGGTCGATATCCTGTATATACGTCTACATTCATCTTAGTGGTCGATATCCTGTATATACGTCTACATTCATCTTAGTGGTGGATATCCTGATATCCTGTATATATCCTGTATAGACGTCTTCATTCATCTTAATGGTCGATATCCTGTATAGACGTCTTCATTCGCCTTAGTGGTCGATATCCTGTATATACGTCTTCATTCATCTTAATGGTCGATATCCTGTATATACGTCTTCATTCATGTTAGTGGTGGATATCCTGTATATACGTCTACATTCATCTTAGTACTCGATATCCAGTATATACGTCTTCATTCATCTTAATTGTCGATATCCTGTATAGACGTCTTCATTCATCTTAGTGGTCGATATCCTGTATAGACGTCTTCATTCATCTTAATGGTCGATATCCTGTATAGACGTCTTAATTGATGTTAGTGGTGGATATCCTGCATACGTATGTACACATTCCTTCATTTTAGTGCTGGGTATGCTTTATATATACAAACATTCATCTTAGGGGTGGGTATCCTGTATATATGTCTACATTCATCTTAGTGGTCGATATCCTGTATATACGTCTACATTCATCTTAGTACTAGATATCCTGTATATAGGTCTACATTCATCTTAGTGGTCGATATCCTGTATATACTCCTACATTCATCTGAATGGTCGATATCCTGTATATACGTCTACATTCATCTTAGTGGTCGATATCCTGTATACGTATGTACACATTCATTCATCTTAGTGCTGGGTATGCTTTATATATACAAACATTCATCTTAGGGGTGGGTATGCCGTATATATGTCTACATTCATCTTAGTGGTCGATATCCTGTATATACGTCTACATTCATCTTAGTACTCGATATCCTGTATATAGGTTTACATTCATCTTAGTGGTCGATATCCTGTATAGACGTCTTCATTCATCTTAGTGGTAGATATTCTGTATAGACGTCTTCATTCATCTTAGTGGTCGATATCCTGTATATACTCCTACATTCATCTTAATGGTCGATATCCTGTATATACGTCTTCATTCATCTTAGTGGTCGATATCCTGTATACGTATGTACACATTCATTCATCTTAGTGCTGGGTATGCTTTATATATACAAACATTCATCTTAGGGGTGGGTATCCCGTATATATGTCTACATTCATCTTAGTGGTCGATATCCTGTATATATGTCTACATTCATCTTAGTGGTCGATATCCTGTATATACGTCTACATTCATCTTAGTACTCGATATCCTGTATATAGGTCTACATTCATCTTAGTGGTCGATATCCTGTATAGACGTCTTCATTCATCTTAGTGGTCGATATCCTGTATATACTCCTACATTCATCTTAGTGGTGGATATCCTGTATATAAGTCTACATTCATCTTAGTGGTCGATATCCTGTATATACGTCTACATTCATCTTAGTGCTGGGTTTGCTTCATATAAGCACACATTCATCCCAGTGCTGAATATCCTGTAGATACACATTCATTCATCTTATTGCTGAATGTGCTAAATATACACATACATTCATCATGTAGGCATCATTGCGTCTTGTTTATCTCACCTGGAAGCTGTTGCATTGCAGATGTCAAGTAACATTATGAAATGTATCCCCTTCAGTGGGCCGGGTTTCATGATAGGGGCACTTTCTTGACACACAGAGGCGTGAACAGAAGTTAGCTTCTTAACTGAATCCATACGACAGTCATTGAGATTGAACGAAAACAAAAACGCTGCATGTTGAGAATCAAATTCATTTGCCTCTTCCCCATCAATCACATCGTGGAGCGAAACGTTACAGCACTCCGCGAGAAACCATCGCTGATTCGGTTTCAGCGCGGAAGATGATGAAGCCGTCTGGATGTATGATGGTTTACTCATGCATATGTCAGTTTGGTTTTGGTTGTAACCTGCAGGGGTGTTTTTGGTGGGGACCTTAACTCGCTGGGTAGAGTTGCGTCCCTTTGACCCGCAAGGGTCTTGTGATCGCGGTATTAAATCAAAGATTACTTGTTTGTGTGCACTATACCTGTGCTCATGGCTTTCAACAAGCAGTAAAGGCGTAAGACCTGCATCACGGATAGTACTTAAATATAATGTCAACACCTTGCACTATGCACAAACTCCCTCCCTCGTGCCCCTTCCTCACTGCAGGGGACAACAGGACCCTGAAGATCCGGGGTGAAAATGGTCTTCAGCAATGGTCAATGGTCTAAGAGGCGACGAAAGGATCGGGTGGTCATTGGTTGACATATGTCATCGTATCCCAATTTCGTATGACGATTCGGATGATGTCAAATCAGTACATTATCTGGTCCAGTCTCGAATATTAACAGAGTACAAAACAAGAAACAAAACAAAAAAACCCCGATGACATGCACCACATTCTGGCAGTGTTCCATACGCAAATGTTTACTCCTCGGGGGCATACACGTGTACGTCTATGACATACAATATTGACTATACAGTAGTGAGATCATGCCGCTGTGGCCTGTACCAGAGCGATTCATAATATACATCTCGACGCCAGAACTTCAAGACAGCGTGTTGTAAATGCGCAATTTCCCAAATCTCGTAACTCTCGTAACAGGTCATAAATGTACGTCATACATTATCCAATTGACTTGCCTTTGCGGGTATTTTAGTGACGGGTGCAACCGACGGATCACTGTTTGATTGTGATTCTTAGGCACATGCTCAATGTACGCAAGAAACATACCATCGATTTCTCGTTGTTTTGACTCACATTTATTTATATATATGGCATACATACGTGTCACATGTACACAGGCTACTATATATGAGGGAGACAGTTAACAACTGTATAGCAGTTGACCTATATCTAGGTCCGATGAAAAAGGTTTCAAGATGTCCTATAAATTTATTCAGTTCAGAAACATTTCCTTCCATTGGTATTTACAATCAGGTATTTCGGTATTCCGCGGTGCTTCAGTTGGTTAGCTAATACAAACCTCGTAAACGTTGATCTCCGCATTTTCTTTCACATCCCTAAGCCCCTGATCAATACAACGCTTATTGATGGAATGAAGCACGACGATCAAGCTGTATGACAGCAGAACAGCTTCTTCACGAACTCATCAGAAGGAATCAAAACGACAGAGACATTTTAGAAAGATATCTAATTAACTATTGAGGTAATGCTGATTAAATTTCCTTTGGGAACTGTAGGTTTATGTTGCCGTTTTGAGTTTGGCGTTACTAATCCCCTGTGGATGAGATGACGGATTTTGTTTCGCTGGCATGGATACTGTGCCCTCGGTTCCAACCAATATAACAGAATTACAGAAAAATTAAAATTTGAAAATTGAATTTATCTCGATGAGATAAGGTTACAGCTCTCAAACTCGGTCGCTTCAGATGTCGGCAGATGCGTGATTCAGCTTAAATGTTTTAAATATTTCACAAATCTGTAAGCTCATTAGCTAATGTCCTTGGAACAGTATCGTTATTTCAGTTTCAAAGCAAAGTTTGAAACAAATTTGAATACTTTAATTACTTTTATCAGACAAAAATGTAAGCCAAGTGACTTTGTGGTCATAAATTCTCACTAAGGGATTCCCCAGCTGTCATAAAGGGAAAATATTAATATAAAACAAAGTGAGTTTAAAACTTTTCCATGATAAATTTAGTTATTACTTAAACATTTTCATAGACCACGAACGTGAAATGGATACAAGGGTTATAATTTCATATCGATCTCATTTCAGGTCAACCTTTCGTTTCTGGTGAATATTCTACGCATTCTTTGTTCAAAACTACGTGCCTTCAACTCCAGCGAAAACCATCAGAATAGGTATGTCACATTGCAATGTATTTGTCATATTAAACTTTTCTCATTTCTTTCATTCATTTTTGTTTTTCGAACCCTCAAAATACTATTTCGAGGTGAGGTGAGGTGAAATTGGGTTAACGTCGTGCTTGAGAATATTTCGCTCATATGACGACGGGCGTGCGTGTGTATGTGTATGTGCGGCTGCTTGTACTAGCCCAGACTGAGGCTGGTTTTATAGTGCTAGCCCACTGAGATACCATGCCGCAGTGAAGCATGAACACCCCACTCAGACACATTATACTGACTCCGAGTCGACCAGTCCTTGTTGTACCCATTAATGCCGAGCGCCAGGCAGGGACCAACAAGTACCATAATTTAACGTCTTTTGGTATGACGCGGTCGGGGATCGAACCCGCGACCTTCCGCTCTCCGGGCGGACGCTCTTACCACTACACCACGGAGGCGGTCACTATTTCAAACAGTCTGGACTGTTGTTTTGGTAAGTTCTGTTTGTTTCCTTCTGTGTTTGTTACCACCCTCACAAAGCAATAGCCCAGCAATATGACGGCAGTCAGTGGTATATGCTATTGCGAACACGTCGTCTCAACTCAATTTTCCCATCGTAAGATGTCGTTTTGCCTTTTACACCAAATATAATCTTTTTTGAGTGGATAATCAAGCCCATTTATTCTCTCACTTTGACGTTATATATGTGTATTAACGAGCATTGAAAGAGATTTGCTCTTTCAATATATTTGATCCGTAAGAGTTCGTTTCAACGTTACGATCATAGTAAACGTTCATTCCGATATCTTTCAATCAAGGTTTGTTGAGCTGGTCAGATTGTAAAATATAGGCGATGCACCGACCACGTCCACTGAAATATGGTACAGAGAATTGATTTAAAGAGAAACAGCTGGTAGTTGACAGGCTTTACCGATATGCAACAACTCCACACTTCTCCCCCCGTGAAGATAAAGATCCGGCATGTTCAGCAACCCATGCTTGTAAGAGGCAATCGGGTGGTCAGACTCGCTGAATTTGTTGACACACGTCACCGTATCCCAATTGCGTAGATCGATGCTCATGCTGTTGATCACTGGATTGTCTGGTCATGCATATGATTCAATACTGTAGAGTTTGTATTTCATTTACAGTTATGAAACGGTGCTAAACGGTAGTGGTTGCAAAGTCTGTCTGCAACAGTTGTGTCACAGCTATAGTGCTTGTCGTAAAAGGCGACTAACGGAATCGGGTGGTCAGGCTCGCTGACTGTGTTGACTGACACATGTCATCGTATCCCAATTGTGTAGATCGATGCACATGCTGTTGATCACTGGATTGTCTGGTCCAGACTCGATTATTTACAAACCGCCGTCATACAGCTGGAATGTTGCTGAGTGCGGCGTAAAACAACCCACCAACCAACCACACTTCTCACAGTCAGACGGAAGCGACTGGTAACAAATGATTCCATAACACATCCGTGGCCACACATAAGGCACAGTTCTTATGCTTAGTTCAACTTGATCAAAAACACGTCTTCTCAATTCTGTGCTGAAACCACTGAGTCTTTTTTTAAGTCGCCGATGCCAAACCCAAACTAGTTTTTCTAATGGATGTAGCGATTTTATGGCTTGTTTGAGCAGCCATATACGAGAAAGATGACAGCTTACCACCTGATCCATACGGCTGATACACCATCAGACACTGGGTCGCTGCATAGGTTTTTCAGGGTCAAATACCAGACCCTCTAACCATGAGGATTTCCGTATAATTCCAGATAATCTTTCTCTCACGTGTGTGTGTGTGTGTCTGTGTGCGCGCGTGCGTGCGGCGAAACTTTTTGTCTTTGTTGTATAATGGGTAAGAGAAGACTGAAAAGCTGCTTTAGCCTACTATTATGTGTCTGGTAATTCAGAAAGGTGAATATTAAACAATGATGTACATTCACGAATGCCGAGAGGTAAATGCATTATGGCAAGGATAAGTTTTAAAAAAATAGGTGATTGTATAAAAGACTGTCAGATATGGACACTAAAGACTGGTCTTGGAATTGAGAAGTTGATAGATTCTTCTTGTCACACAACCACAGAAGGATATGTTTGTCGCTAACTAGTGTTACTTCGTCAGGTGAGGAAATCGGGTGGGCATGGCTACTTGAAAGTTATTGAACGATATCAGATCCTGGAGCTTACGTTTAAGGGATTTAAGACACATTTGGAAGTCACATTTATTGATTCAGAGATGGATATAACACAAAAACATTCATGGTGTTTGTCCACAGACGTGCAGTACGGGCCATCCTGATCCTCATCCCTCTGCTGGGGCTTCAGTACCTTGTCATCCCCTTCAGGCCGAGCAGTGGTCCCAGTCCTCTCTACATCTTCAATATGATCTCAGCCTTCCTCGTATCCTTCCAGGTATTGACAGGCACATATTTCTGGTAGATTGATGTAAAGTGTTCATCTACAGGTAGACACAATGACACAGGCACAATTCTCAGAACAGATAGGATGAAGGACAAAATTTGTGTTTAGCATCGTCTTACAATTACCCATAATTAAATTCATATCAATCTTTCTGTTGTCCATATCCCAAGCCATATCAACAAGGCCAGTGTTACCTGACACGCACGTGGACCACACAGATCACAGGAGACGGAATTTCACAACGCTTCCAATAATAGTGTCAAATAATTTCATTTTGATTTGACAATTTAGTTTATACTGTCTTCATTTAACTGGTTCGAAAACACAATAGCATTTCAGAATGATGTAAGGTTAAGTCATGATATGCTGGCAATCTGTATCCATAGGTTTGAATGTATGACCCTTGAATTATGCACAGGGAAGAGATTTACCCATACGCATTTTCTCTCCACAGGGCGTCTTTGTAGCGCTCATTTTCTGCTTCTTCAATGGGGAGGTAATGTATACAAGCGTTAGCTTCCCGTTTTATCTTTTCTTCTTGCTTCGTCTTCACTCACTGGGTTAATATCTGCACATTTAATAACACACTTTACAAACTCTCGTATTAGAATACCAAAACGTAACGGTAGCAAAATCAAATAGCAACGCTTAAATATATCCTAACTACCTCTGCTGTTTATGTTTCCTCTAAACATTCAATAGTACGTACGTTCATGATAATCGTATCACTTCTTATTCTATACAATTGTAATATACTTTACTGGACCCTATTCGTCACTGAGAGGAGAACAGGGCCTCGAAATAGGGTATGAAGTGAAACAGTGGGCAGTCATTTTGTGCCATGTATTGCTAATAATGCTGTGAACTATTTTAGGTGATGACGGTGCTCCGCCGGAAGTGGAATCAGGTACGCCATAACTATGATCCTGGCTACTCGGAGAGACGACGCAGTCTCACTAACACTACAGCTGTACCGTGGGAGGAAAGCACAGTCGCCATGCCACCACTGATCAAAAACGGTAGTGGCCGTTCCTCCTCAAGGCACTTTGCCACTAAGTCACAGGTTAATTTGTGCAAAGTTAATTACCTCCCTTTGAGCATGTCCACCCAAAATAGAAAACCCAAATACATATATAATGAGAACTAGACAGAACCACTGCCCTAAATAAGTGAAACATGTCTTATTGTACGGTTCGGGTTTTATCAAAGACATGTATTTGTAAACACTTGCAAAGAGGTTGCCACCAAGTGCGAAATAGTGACAGAACGCTGTCCCATCAGTGGCACTTCGTCACAAACACATGCAAAGACGAGTCAGTTTTCCCCTGCAAAAACCCGGGAACAACTTAGGGAATGCTTTTTGGTCACAGAGGCGTCAAATTTTATAATGTCCTTCAAATATCGATTACAGTGAAAGTTTTTAAGTTTTACTGAGTCATTTAAAAGTACTATGTTAAAAACTGTGGTATGACAAATGTATTATGGTTTTCTGTTCTGAGATGCAATTAAGAGCACCGTTGCTATCATTAGAACACTGCTTCTGTGGAAAATCGTTAGCACCAACTGCTGTTACAAGTAGAACGCCGGTATTATCGTATGTGGCTGTTAGTGAAACACTTTTATTACCTGGTGGTGCACGAGGTGGAAGACTGTTGTTATCGAATGTTGTTACCGCTGAAACACCCTTATTACCGACTGTTGTTACCACTAGAAGATAGGTATTACCGACTGTTGTTACCACTAGAAGATAGGTATTACCGACTGTTGTTACCACTAGAAGATAGGTATTACCGACTGTTGTTACCACTAGAAGATAGGTATTACCGACTGTTGTTACCACTAGAAGATAGGTATTACCGACTGTTGTTACCGCTGAAACACCCTTATTACCGACTGTTGTTACCACTAGAACTGTTGTTATGAGGTATTACCGACTGTTGTTACCACTAGAAGATAGGACTATTATTACCGACTGTTGTATTATCGACCACCCACTAGAAGATAGGTATTACCGTCTGATGTTACCACTAGAAGATAGGTATTACCGACTGTTGTTACCACTAGAAGATAGGTATTACCGACTGTTGTTACCACTAGAAGATAGGTATTACCGACTGTTGTTACCGCTGAAACACCCTTATTACCGACTGTTGTTACCACTAGAGGATAGGTATTACCGACTGTTGTTACCATTAGAAGATAGGTATTACCGACTGTTGTTACCACTAGAAGATAGGTATTACCGACTGTTGTTACCACTAGAAGATAGGTATTACCGTCTGACTGTTGTTACCACTAGAAGATAGGTATTACCGACTGTTGTTACCACTAGAAGATAGGTATTACCGACTGTTGTTACCACTAGAAGATAGGTATTACCGACTGTTGTTACCACTAGAAGATAGGTATTACCGACTGTTGTTACCACTAGAAGATAGGTATTACCGACTGTTGTTACCACTAGAAGATAGGTATTACTGACTGTTGTTACCACTAGAAGATAGGTATTACCGACTGTTGTTACCACTAGAAGATAGGTATTACCGACTGTTGTTACCACTAGAAGATAGGTATTACCGACTGTTGTTACCACTAAATGATACTTATTACCGACTGTTGTTACCACTAGAAGATAGGTATTACCGACTGTTGTTACCACTAGAAGATAGGTATTACCGACTGTTGTTACCACTAGAAGATAGTTATTACCGACTGTTGTTACCACAAGAAGATAGTTATTACCGACTGTTCAACTTGTTACCACTAGAAGATAGTTATTACCGTCTGTTGTTACCACTAGAAGATAGTTATTACCGTCTGTTGTTACCACTAGAAGATAGTTATTACCGACTGTTGTCACCACTAGAAGATAGGTATTACCGACTGTTGTTACCACTAGAAGATAGTTATTACCGACTGTTCAACTTGTTACCACTAGAAGATAGTTATTACCGTCTGTTGTTACCACTAGAAGATAGTTATTACCGTCTGTTGTTACCACTAGAAGATAGTTATTACCGACTGTTGTTACCACTAGAAGATAGGTATTACCGACTGTTGTTACCACTAGAAGATAGGTATTACCGACTGTTGTTACCACTGTTGAAGATAGTTATTACCGACTGTTGTCTTGTTACCACTAGATAGATAGTTATTACCGTCTGTTGTTACCACTAGAAGATAGTTATTACCGTCTGTTTGTTACCACTAGTTACCACTAGAAGATAGTTATTACCGACTGTTGTCACCACTAGAAGATAGGTATTACCGACTGTTGTTACCACTAGAAGATAGTTACTTACCGACTGTTCAACTTGACACCACTAGAAGATAGTTATTACCGTCTGTTGTTACCACTAGAAGATAGTTATTACCGTCTGTTGTTACCACTAGAAGATAGTTATTACCGACTGTTGTTACCACTAGAAGATACCGACTGTTGTCACCACTAGAAGATAGGTATTACCGACTGTTGTCACCACTAGAAGATAGGTATTACCGACTGTTGTTACCACTAGAAGATAGTTATCACCGACTGTTCAACTTGCTACCACTAGAAGATAGTTATTACCGTCTGTTGTTACCACTAGAAGATAGTTATTACCGACTGTTGTTACCACTAGAAGATAGGTATTACCGACTGTTGTTACCACTAGAAGATAGTTATTACCGACTGTTGTTACCACAAGAAGATAGTTATTACCGACTGTTGTTACCACTAGAAGATAGGTATTACCGACTGTTGTTACCACTAGAAGATACTAGAGATAGTATTACCCGACTGTTGTTACCACTAGAAGATAGGTATTACCGACTGTTGTTACCACAAGAAGATAGGTATTACCGATTGTTGTTACCACTAGAGGATAGGTATTACCGACTGTTGTTACCACTAGAAGATAGGTATTACCGTCTGTTGTTACCACTAGAAGATAGTTATTACCGACTGTTGTTACCACTAGAAGATAGGTATTACCGACTGTTGTTACCACTAGAGGATAGGTATTACCGACTGTTGTTACCACTAGAAGATAGGTATTACCGTCTGTTGTTACCACTAGAAGATAGTTATTACCGACTGTTGTTACCACAAGAAGATAGGTATTACCGACTGTTGTTACCACTAGAGGATAGGTATTACCGACTGTTGTTACCACTAGAAGATAGGTATTACCCTCTGTTGTTACCACAAGAAGATAGGTATTACCGACTGTTGTTACCACTAGAAGATAGGTATTACCGACTGTTGTTACCACTAGAAGATAGTTATTACCGACTGTTGTTACCACTAGAAGATAGGTATACCACTAGAAGATAGGTATTACCGACTGTTGTTACCACTAGAAGATAGTTATTACCGACTGTTGTTACCACTAGGAGATAGTTATTACCGACTACTATGTTACTGTAAGAGTGGAGTAAAACGATGTTGACCGTTATTACTGACCGTTGTTACCACTAAAAGATAGTTATTACCGACCGATGACACAGGTGGAACAATTACCTTGTCCTGAATAAATAATTTACAAAGTGGTCAAATCTAAGGAATGACTTTTGTTGGGTTGAGTTCCGTCCGGGTTTCGAACCCACACTGTCAGAATCAGCCAGCCAACCCACTCAGCCCCTGCTGCTGGAAAATCATTAATGCCAATTGTGGCTATAGGTATACACGGTTATCATTGAATGTAGTTATTAGTGGAACACCGTGATTGCCGACGGTGGCTTATGTTTAGCATGTGTACTTCAGATGGAACACCGTTATTCCACACCGTTGTTATGGGAGGACATTATCGACATAGACTCTTGCTATTCTTGGTTGGTTGGTTAACGCCGCACTCAGCAATATTCCAGCTATATGGAGGCGGTCTGTAAATAATCAAGTCTGGTCCCGACAATCCAGTGATCAACAGCATGAGCATCAATCTACGCAATTGGGATACTATGACATGTGTCAGTTAACCCAGTCAGCGAGCCTGACCACCCGATCACGTTAGTCGCCTTTTACGACAAGCACTATAGCTGTGACACAACTGTTGCAGACAGACTTTCCAAGCACTGCCGTTTAGCGCTGGAGGTAACTGTAAATGAAATACAAACTCTACAGTATTGAATCATATGGAAGACGTAACGACAACGCTCCCGATTGTACAGTCTTCAGTAGATGGCAGATAATATTTCCTGACATTTCTAATACATATTATTACTAACATGTAAAATAAGAGTGCACCAAGGTAAAAGTTGTTGTCATTTCCGTGTAACTATAACTTCTGTATATCTGTAGTTGAATGGATTGACATATGCTACAATCATGACTCTAGACACATCTGACTGGCCGGCCATGATTAAACCGACTGCTTCGCCTGAAGAACAGCTGACCGCTTGAAGTGCATTCGCTATCGTTCAACTGTAATCACAAGTAGTGTTTGTGCACAACTAGTACCTCTAGCAGCCTCTAGCATTCCTGTATGATCATCACCACCTAATACCATTCTACATTGAAAATTCCTTCAGTTACAAATGGTATTTTGCTTTGTGATACCTCTATCCCTACTGCCTTGAATAGTCAGTGGTTAATCTCTGTTGTTTTAGTCTGTTCATATTCACATGTTTTGCGGTTCGGTAACTTTGATGTTCAACCGTCTCTCTTGCTGTATGTCACCCAAAACCTTTGAAGTATATGTCTTGTGTCTACCGCCGTGGTAATGTTGGACCAAACCTAAACACTCTCTAGTAATAGGTATATAAATCTCTTCAGGCGCAACACAGTTATTACTGTCTAAAGTAAGTGTAATTTATTAACATGTCAAATAATGCCTATAACAACATTATTCGTACTCAACACAACTTGGTATATATCACTTCTCCATTTTACAGTCATCCATGCATGTCTGTGACCATTATCTTACAATTACACATGCTTATTTGTATTGTACGTGGGCCTAAGGCCTTGTTACGAAATAAACTTGATTGATTGATTGTGACCATTCTCAGCATACTACTACTAATAATTATGTATTTACTGATCATTGTTGTTTTCGTTTTTTGTCCAATCTAGCGTTGTTGCATGGAAACTGTCCTCTACTATATCATTGTTATGTCGCTTGTTTCAGGAGGTCGCGGAGATGCAATGCATGATGAATCCCAGTTCGGATAACAACTGACAAAGACAGCGCCCAGTTCATACAATGTTGAGACAAGGCCTGAGACACATGGGTAACAGTTCACGCCTTGTGAGGCATTTCCGGGAAACCAAAGAGTTTTGACGAAAAAGAATTCATTTCAAGGATATCCATCCACATCCAGATGACCATGGATTAATGTGTTACTCATATATACGGAAAATTATCTCTAGTGGCCATTTACAGAAACTGAAGACAAAGAATCAAATTATTGCATCAAGAACTTCTAGCCTTTTTGGTCAAGTTTTTAATTCTTGAATGCTGTTGTTATTTGTTATTACGGCAATTATTGCGTTAAATTGGGAAACCCATATCGGAACTATTAGAAATCCAAGAGACATAATTATGTAGATAGAGATCAGCCAAAAGTAAGTGAAGAGGAGCATTCTTTTCACATCCAATGCCAGCGTAAAGTTATCATTGAACCAGTATGAACCATTACGCTACGTATATATAAACTGAAACCAGTTCTGGTGAACGACTGAAAAGCGCAAACATGTGATAAACCAGTTCTCGTGTTATATCACCACAGCGCATCCAAACCAGTTCCGAGGAACCGGTATATAGTTTCTGCCCTGACACAGGGCATGCGCGCATTACACTGATCATTCCAGAGGTTAACTGTTACATTTAGACATGGAAATATTCGTTCTAAATGCTCAGTCACGTGTTCACATTTGATCGCGCGAAATCATAATATGGTGCTTTTCTATCTTCGACGTTTATGTTGTTTTGTGACGATTGTCACAAGCACTGTCGACATAATCTTCATGTTACATTGTCATAGTTGAATGTATAGTGTAATCAACCATCCTCACTCACTTGACTTTAGAGATAACTGTGGTACACTTGTATCTAGAAGCCCTGAACAGGGCCTGTATGTACGCTCGGGCAGACTGTCATTCCTTGTAGGCTTAATTAAAACACCACTTTGTTATCAATTAAATTAAATATCACCCTGACAGCAGAGGGAACACATCTCTCTTCACACAAAGTAATATGTGACTTCGTTGACGCAGTCTGACTTTGAATAATTAATCAATGCCGCATACACTGCCGTGCTGATGGCTAACACCTGTCTTGTTAATGAAGATATAAATCAACACAACAGATTCAATTGGACGAAAAAGCCAAAATGACTAAAATGCTCTACAGGATCACAGATAATAAGAGATGCCACCAGGTGTCAAAGTATCACGACTCTCCACATGACATTGCTGTCTTCCGTTGCCCTGTATTGTACTTGTTTCCATATGTCATATGTTTCAGCCCCCCTTTCACTCGCCCACGTACTCACTCACTCATTCTTCACTATACATTAGTCTAACACTGTTGTGTCAATCGTTCTTCACTATACATTAGTCTAACACTGTTGTGTCAACCCTACAAGTCTCGAACTAACGGTTGTCCCGAAGTAATTACTTTAGCCCCTGCGTATTCCTCACTTTTTCACCATTTTGTGGTTGTGCCGAAGTATTTACGTTGGTCCCGGCAAATTCGACACAACGGTGTCCGACTGTAGATCGTTATCCTATCGTGCTAACAGGAGCCATAGCCGGGTTCCTAGAGATGGATGAGGCACACAGAAAGTGAGTGAGTGAGGTTTGAATCCGATTGAACAGAGTTTCAATTTTGTGTCGACGTTCGTAATATGGGAAGGACTATCAAGTGAAGCCGGAATTTAATTAGGATAGACCCTACATCGTTATCAGGAAAAACTTTTATTCGAGCAAAGCGAATCCTGGTATCAAAGGGAGGTAAATATTGCCGACAGTTGGATGGATGACAGTCCAGTGAGCGTACCTAGGGATTCGGGTCTAGCCCACATTGAAGTACAAATGTCTCCTTTGCCGAGTGACTTCTTTAACAAGCAGTGTATGGGTACCCCGTGGGATGAAATGGTAATGGTAGTTACACTCCTGGCGGCAGTTCGGCATGTAAACAACCAAGGGAGCCCATAATGAAACGTATGATAATAATGTAGGAACATGAGAATAGAATCTGTATCATGTAATTAAGATGAGGATTACGGTGCCTCAAACAACGGGCTCCGTTATATAACCAGGATAATATATGTAATAAACAAAAGATGAGAAACTGTCACTGGCATTTATAATTATTCCCATTGTCATACATACCGAATGCATCCCGTCTCCTCATTTGTCAGTATTTAATGACCTCATCGCGATTTTTAATTATAAGAGTTGCAAGATTTTGTTTTTGTGATCACATGTAATTCGAATCTCCTTTGTAAGTGCTTGTTACGTGACTGTATCAAGATGTGGATGTTCACATAGACTCATGGTTTCAGGCGGAGTGTACAGGAGCTATTGTCTTAGGATGTCCGCTGGTTTGTAGAAGGGGTATTCAGTTTCTGGGTAAATCATAAACAGTTGGCATTAAACTAACTCTCCACATGAGAAAGTGGGTTTGGTTTCATGGTGATTTGAGCATTGTTCCAGTTTTATCAGCTTATTCCGGAAATCAAACCCGAGGTGATGTTTGATGTTTGACAAAATGATTCCCATATGTTGGTAAACAACTGTTGACACGTGCCAGTTAATACAAACCCAGCAAAGAACCTCAGTGTAAAATCTGTAAATGTGCCATCGTCTGTAATACTTTGAGTTAATAAATAACCGGTCATATTTTTCGTAACAGTCGTTGTTTGTATGTTGCGAGAACAGAACATACGGGTCACACTTTGACTTGAGGGAGGCGTAGAGAACAGAACAGACGGGTCACACTTTGACTTCAGGGAGCCATAGAGAATAGAAACAGACGGGGCACACTTTGACTTCAGGGAGGCGTAGAGAACAGAACAGACGGGTCACACTTTGACTTCAGGGAGCCGTAGAGAATAGAACAGACAGGGCACACTTTGACTTGAGGGAGCCGTAGAGAATAGAACAGACGGGTCACACTTTGACTTCAGGGAGCCGTAGAGAATAGAACAGACAGGGCACACTTTGACTTGAGGGAGCCGTAGAGAATAGAACAGACGGGTCACACTTTGACTTGAGGGAGCCGTAGAGAACAGAACAGACGGGGCACACTTTGACTTGAGGGAGCCGTAGAACAGACAGGTCACACTAGAGGAACCGTAGAGAATAGAACAGGGCACACTTTGACTTGAGGGAGCCGTAGAGAACAGAACAGACGGGTCACACTTTGACTTGAGGGAGCAGTAGAGAACAGACCAGACGGGGCACACTTTGACTTGAGGGAGCCGTAGAGAATAGAACAGACGGGGCACACTTTGACTTGAGGGAGCCGTAGAGAATAGAACAGACGGGTCACACTTTGACTTGAGGGAGCCGTAGAGAACAGAACAGACGGGTCCCACTTTGACTTGAGGGAACCGTAGAGAACAGAACAGACTGAGCACACTTTGACTTGAGGGAGCCGTAGAGAACAGAACAGACGGGTCACACTTTGACTTGAGGGAGCCGTAGAGAACAGAAGAGACGGGGCACACTTTGACTTGAGGGAGCCGTAGAGAACAGAAGAGACGGGGCACACTTTGACTTGGCGGAGCCGTAGAGAACAGAACAGACGGGGCACACTTTGACTTGAGGGAGCCGTAGAGAATAGAACAGACAGGGCACACTTTGACTTGGCAGGGAGCCGTAGAGAACAGAACGGGCAGACGGGACACACACACTTTGACTTGAGGGAACCGTACAGAACAACAGAAAGACGGGGCACACTTTGACTTGAGGGAGCCGTAGAGAACAGAACAGACGGGGCACACTTTGACTTGAGGGAGCCGTAGAGAACAGAACAGACGGGGCACACTTTGACTTGAGGGAGCCGTAGAGAATAGAACAGACGGGGCACATTTTGACTTGAGGGAGCCGTAGAGAATAGAACAGACCAGACGGGCACATTTTGACTTGAGGGAGCCGTAGAGAATAGAACAGACGGGGCACACTTTGACTTGAGGGAGCCGTAGAGAATAGAACAGACAGGGCACACTTTGACTTGAGGGAGCCGTAGAGAACAGAACAGACGGGGCACACTTTGACTTGACGGGGCACACTTTGACTTGGGGGAACCGTACAGAACAGAACAGACGGGGCACACTTTGACTTGAGGGAACTGTAGAGATCAGAACAGAACAGACTTGAGGGAACCGGGGCACACTTTGACTTGAGGGAACCGTAGAGAACAGAACAGAACATACGGGGCACACTTTGAGTTGAGGGAGCCATAGAGAATAGAACAGACGGGGCACACTTTGACTTGACGGAGCCATAGAGGATAGAACAGACGTGGAACAGTTTGACTTGAGGGAGCCGTAGAGAATAGAACAGACGGGGCACACTTTGACTTGAGGCAGCCGTAGAGAACAGAACAGACGGGGCACACTTTGACTTCAGGGAGCCGTAGAGAACAGAACAGACGGGCACACTTTGACTTGAGGGAGCCCTAGAGAACAGAACAGACGGGGCACATTTTGACTTGAGGGAGCCCTAGAGAACTATTTGTCTTCTCCGACTAACATCGCTTTCATATCTCACATCACCATCACATTTCACATCACAGTTATATCACACATACTCATATCATACTCACACTTCACTCACACCAGATATACGAGGGGTGTCCCAAAAGTTTCCGGCCCAATCATGAAAAGTACGACATGCATGAAAATCTTTCTACCTATTTTTCAATATAATCACCCTTGACTTCTATATTCAGAGTGACCAAAATCTCTTCACAAGGCTGTATGACAAATGGGAATGATTTCAACGTTGCAATAGTCAACTTCCCTTTCATGTCGAGCAATATTCCAGAGCGTCATGCCACTCTTGCTCAGAAATTGTTTGATCAAGGTTACAATATTCAAGGCCTCAGTAAAGCTTTCAAGAAGTTAGAAGTTCCTCCACGGTAGACATATGGAGGAAATTTCCAAATTTGATGCATCACTGACAAAAATTATGTCAGATGCCATTCCCTATTTTGACTTATGCTATACGTTCCCGAATTATTTCAAGTGAACAAATGACTAAACTTAGCATATGTTTATGACGGGTGCCACTGGTGGGGCAGAATACTCAAATGATATCTTCCCACGTAACTTCTGTTCTAATACGGCCCTTTCATGGTGCGACTGTTCAGGATTCGTGATTGGTTGCAATCAGATTTAGTTGTGCAATCAGCGACGTTGTTTCAAAAGTGATCATTCGCAAAGCCTCGTTAAATTCCGAATGATTCGGAAAAACTAGAACCTCTTCCCCTGCGCGATGCGCAAACGTTTCTTCTAGACAGAACTCAGTCTCTCAGAGCATTTCGGTGTAAACGCACAGAGTCGAATAGAACGCAATATTGCAAAATGAGAAACAAATTTAAGAATTGCTGTAGGAGATTTAAATCCAAACTTTGTAAACAAAGCAAAACAGACTCAACAGTTCGATCAAATGTCCATCTTAATTCTGGAAGAAATACGCTCCTTACAAAACCGACCGCACCATCAAAATTCAATTTCCAAAACTGAATGGCTAATGCATTTTAAGAAAGTATTTTCGAACGAGTCTGTATTTGATATCGATCAAGATAACGATGTTTTAAATGACATGCTTAGTTCGCCATCAGAATGTTACATGGATGTAGATAAATTTATTCTAGAATCACAAATATCAGAAATGAAATATCCATTGATATATCACATTTAAAAAACGGAAATCGGCTGGCCCTGATCATATCACCATAGAAATGATAACATGTTCGGAATTCGTAATCATGCCATTTCTGATAAATTGTTTCAATAGACTATTTGATAATGGTATGTTTCTAAATAGCTGGTTTTCTTCAATTATTGTTCCTCTTCATAAGAAGGGGAAATTTGATGATCCTGATAACTATAGAGGCATTTCACTTATAAGTTTTCTGGGCAAAATATTCACAACTGTATTAAATAATAGAATAACAAATTGGGCAAATATGCAGGACTTAATCCCAGAAACTCAGGCCGGTTTTCGGAAAAATTATTCTACTTCAGATCACATCTTTACATTACATGCAAGAATTCCAAAATGTCTTTCACGCCGAAAACACAAATTGTATGTAGCGTTCGTCGATTTTAAAGAAGCATTCGATTCTGTTGATCGTTCTAAATTATGGTATTGTCTGCTAAAGACCGGATTACGAGGACAAATGTATTCTGTTTTAAAGTCTATGTATTCTAATATAAAAATCATGTGTGCGGTGTGGTGATGATTTTACAGATTATTTTGATTGTCCGGTCGTATTAAGACAAGGATGTATTTTAATCCCAATGTTATTTTCATTTTTCATTAATGAATTGTATTACAATATTGCTAATAATGGAAAACATGGTACTCAGATGTTCCCGGATATGATTGAAGTACTAATGCTACTTTTTGCTGATGATGTCATTTTAGTCTCAGACACTATTGTAGGATTACAAGATCAACTTAATATTTTGGACGTTACACAAAAGAATGGAAGTTATCGGTTAATTACGACAAAACAAATATGGTCATTTTCAGAAGGGGTGGTTCGTTATCCGTAAATGAAAAGTGGGTACTAAATGGGATACATCTTAAGATTAATAGTCATTATAAATATCTTGGTCTTTTGTTTACCCATACAATGAACTTTTCTAAACGCATAGAAGATTTAGTATCAAGAGCAAAGAAAGCCCTATTTAACGTTATGTCTGTTTCATATAAAATTGGAATTACCTCACTTAATATTTTTTTTAACTCTTTGATTCGCAGATACGACCAATAATGTTATATGGATCTGATATTTAGGGTTATCAAAGATATGATTGTTTAGAAAAACTTCACCTTTTAGCATGTAAAAGATATTTATCCGTTGGATTATCTACACCAAAATGTATGATCTACGGCGAATGTGGAAGACACCCATTATATATAAATTCTCAGATTAGATGCTTGAAATATTACATATAAAACTTATTGGTATGCATGAAAATAGAATTCCAAAGCTGGCTTATAATATGCTTTTACATTTAGACAACATCGGTAAAGTTACATTGGAATCCCATGTAAGAAACGTTTTGTTCTCTCATGGTTTTGGTTTTATTTGGATGAACCAAACTATTGGAAATATCAGTCTATTTTTATATAATTTTAGATACCAAGCTATTGATATGTTCTATGAGAATTGGCATTCTACCCTTCACGACAGCTCACGGTATCATTGCTACAGGACATTTAAAAGTTTACTTCAGCCTGAAAAATATTTGTCTGTTTTATATTCTAAAGATTTAAGGAATATGTTTATCCAATTTAGACTTGGTTTGTTAGATTTAATGATAAACGAAGGCAGGAAGATGTCCATAGATAAGAACAGGAGAATTTGTCCGTTATGTAAATCCGCAGTTGAGAATGAAATCCACTTTATGCCAGTCTGTCCATCCTACTCCACTGTAAGAAGCAAATACATTCCACACCCGTTTTTGTCAAAATCATCTGCTCTAGCTTTTTCATCCTTAATGTCTTCTATTAATGATAATGATATTCTTAATCTGTCATTATTTATCAAACATAGTATGAGACTAAGAAATGTACTGTTGAACAATTTAAAACGCAACAACGAAATCTTACATTAGCCCGTCATTTTGTTCTCTCCATTATATGTATTGTATGCTGTATATTGTATAT